AAAATAATGTAAATTTCAAATTATAAACAAATATTTAATGTAAATATTAAATAATATTATTTAAATATTTATTATCTAATTTTTAATCCAACGGAATAAAACGTGAACTGCTGAGCGTAAATTTGCTATGTTACGTGTTTGTAAGACAAGCCCTGATGGCTGATTGTAATAATTTTATTTGAAGTGGTTTAATATATAATTTTTATTTACTAATATTTTGTATATTTTAACGATTACTTACATTTTTACTTTTGCTGCTAAAATGTCTTCAATCATTAATTGAACGTCAATTTTGGTAGGTGGCTTTTTCCCAGGCTTGTCTACGTAGTACGCATTTAACTGTTCATAAAATTCAGAAAATGAATCAAATTCCATTTTAACGCTAATATACGACTCGCTTCAAGTCAGAGGACGTACTGGCATCATATAAAAATAATATAATATACAGATTTTCCAGAATGCCTTGGTCGTATCACACTTATACAATTGATTCAATTGAATTTTGATTAAATATATATTTTATCGACTAAAATTTATCTGCTGAACGGTCGATATCTCATCTTTACAATTTATTAATAATAAATATAGTACGGTGCGATACGTACCAGTATCAATGTTATTATTTCGATTTCACGAAAAGTTACCTATTTATGTAATTAATTTAAAATATTACACAAAGTGTAAAATAAAAGTTTCCATTTCATGAAATGAATAAAATATATGTCCGTTTCATGAACTAAAATTTGACTTACACGTTATGATCGTAGTTCATGAAATGAACATCCATTTCATGAAAAATACGATTACACTAAGTGGATACGACATATATATGTATTGTTGACAAAGCATCACTGAACTTCGCTCAGNTTAGGATAAATTCATTCAAGTCGATCCAGCCGTTTAGTTGCATTATAGATAAATATTCCGACGGAACATGTAGTATAAATAACCTAGATACCGACTGCAGTGCCATCTGCCGGGCTGATTTGTGAATCTAAACCATCCAAGACGTTACCCAAACACATACATAAAAATTCATTCAAATCAGTCCAGCCGTTTAGGAGTTCAGTAACATACACACGAGCAGTAGAATTATATATATAAAGACATATAGATATAATTTAACAAACAAAACCGAATTTTTCTTTTTTATACTATTTTTGTTTCAGAAATTTTAATATTCTTAACTAGATGGTTGAATGAAATTAAAGCTATACCCAAATATATGAACTGTTTAACCAGGGCCGGATTTAGGAATGTGGGGGCCCTGGGCCAACCTTAGAAGTATATATTTTCGATAACATATATTTAATATTTTAATATACTATTAAAACTTTATAAGTGAATTTAATTTAATAATAGGTATATTAACATTTACCGAAAAACGTTTGTTGTGTATACCAACCCTATTATACCCGTATAGTGTGGCGGTCCGTGGCGCACACAAAATATGTATTTTATTTTATTTAATTTATTAATTCAACAAAAAAAATTAACGCACTACCATATAACCATGAGCCGCTACTGAAATTTAGTAGATATTCAATAATATAAAATAATTAATAACATAAAATAATAATAAATCTAAAAAATGCTCATATAATTATTCAGTGAATGTTTCAATCGGGTAGGAATATTATTTTAAAAATAACAATTAAAAAATAAAAATTAACTAATATCGTCGGAATAATAAATTTAATAGTGAGAAATAATACATTAAACTAACCTGGATAATTATCACGTTCTAAATAGTACTCGTGTGGACGTATGGTTGAAGACGAATAAAGAGGGTACTCGCTACTCACTGCACTCGTCTATATCACATTAATGTTAAATATAATCTTTATCTACGTTATTGCATGTTTTTATATAATCTATTCGGCACGTATTTATCAACAACAGCGGTCGGGCGGCTTGCTATACAAGTAATATGTGTTTATTTATAACTGATTGTCTCAAAATTTAAAACCATACCAAATTAGAAATATTATTTAGTTGGCCTTATCGCTTATCCTACTCTACGAGTCATAATAATCTATTTTAAATTACTTTAATAATTTTACTATATAAAATATGATTGAACAATATTATTCGATTTGTAATTTAAATTTATTTTGCAAACATTATACATTATACATTACACTTGGATGCAAAAAAGTCCCATTAAGTGGGGGGCCCTCATTTTGTGGAGGCCCGGGGTCCAGGGCCCCCTGGGCCCCCCCTTAATCCGGCCCTGTGTTTAAATTAGAAGTCATATTTGATAAGTATAAGATATAACAATAATAGTAATAATAAATAAATATATATAAAATATACATTTTTTTTCTGTTAATGTAATTTTTTTTTATNAAATATTTATGAGTGCTTCTTTAACGATTTAAACGCTTTTTTTGCAGACTTGAAGTGCATATAAATCCATTCCCGGATTATAATATATGGTAATTTGCACGGCTTAAAAAATAGGTACACCTTCTATACTCTGTTTCAGAAGAGAATATACTGCTTTTGTGACCAGTTTTCGTTCAGATATGTTAAGAAATGATGTTTCTATGATATCTATAGTTGTGACTGGTGCTACCTGGTGAGAATGCGCACCGCTGAAAAAAAACTGGTAGTGAAAGCGGTATGTTCTCTTTTGAAACGGTGTATAGATAACATTGCCCATGAAATAATCTCTAGATTTAATAAACACTAAAATTCATATATTTGTATAGTACTATAGTATCACAAAACATAAGGATGATCATTAAAGTTAAAATATTAATACTATATATTTTATACAGAAACACTATGGGTATTCAAATTAAAAATATTATTATTATTTTAATTGTTTTTGATTAGGTTTGGTATAGGAAACCTTTTTCCATGAAAGATATTCAATAATCCTGTGGGCTTTGATTAGTATTGAACATGAAAAAACAACAAAAACATTGTTTAAATAATAAAATGCTTACATTAAAGATTTAACCTGCCGCGCAAAATTTGAAAATCAATAATAACACTTTATTACAAACTCTAATACCGCAAAAACTGGGGATAAATTGCCCCCAACATGTTTTTTTCAGTTTTTCAAATAATTTTTTTTTTTTAAAAAATTATTAGCTTAAATAATAATTAAAAATAATGGTATTTCAGTATCATGTTAAGCATTCAGTATTTTAGTGATTTTTTTGTATAAAAAGTAAATTACTCTGTTGAATATACAAATATTTAATTTTTAAAGCACTATTCTTCTGGTATTTAACTATTTATATCTTAATATTGCAACCAATAAAATTGGTTATAAATTGGAATAAAATAAATACAAACTACAAAGTACTTACAACTGAAGAAAAGGTAACTACATTGTAAGCTACTATATTTTGTCTACGGGTTACTACTCTGTATTTTTTCTTTTGATCGGTGGTTCTTGACCAACCATTAACTGATTAATTTTCATTTTGGTTAATCTTTGTTCTTTTTTAAGGACATCAATTAATTGCTATATAGTTAGATGAGATGAGGCTAGCAATGATGAAAAGGCTTTATGCCAACCCTCTACAGAGTTGTTAGTTTTAGGTAACCCCTCTAGTGTCGTATCATTCTTTTTCCTAATTATTATAAAGGAAATCAAAAAATGTTAGCCTAAATACATCAAATAGATTTTATTCAACAATAAAGGTATTTTATTTATTTTTTTATTAGAGCTAGATTTTTAGTAGTAGTACAAACACACACAAAACATCGATATCCTAAATCTCTCATTACATTCATAATTCAAAACCATGAAAAAAATTATTATGGCATTATATAACATACCTATATGGCTATATACCATGGTAAAATAATTTAAATAAAAGTACCTATTGTAAAGATATGTATTGGTTATAATTTTATAAACTATTATTTAATAACCACTAACCAAAAATTGAAACAAAGTAATTGTATTAGTCAGAGGTACAATGCATATTATGTTGTACAGTTCACTAATGCTCATTTTTTATATTGTAAATTATTAGTATTTCGAATTTATAATATTAATTATATACTATATAACCCATAAAAAGAGAATTTGTTTGTAGTGCAATTCTGATTGTTCCATCACACAATAATTTTGTTTTAAACTTTTTTGTATACTATTCAAAATAAAAGAGTGAATTATTTAAAACATTTTTATAATTTAGTACCTTAAAACTACACACATTAAGAAAAATGTACACAAGAGCCAAATTGTATTTGTTCCAATTTGTTAGACGTTCGGTAGACGAACAGCTAATGTGTCCGTTTTTGCCGTACCGCTCGACAATAAATTTGACGACGAATGCTTGGCATAAAACCAGCTTAAATTCTAAACTGTTTTACTAATTTTTAACTGCTATATTCCAGGTACTTGAAGTACCAACAAATTTAAATAAGATCCAACAATACCTATAAAACAATTTAAAAAAAAAAAAAAATAAAAATGTTTATATAAATAAATCATAAAAGTCACTTAATTTTTAAATATTGCGTGCCAAGTACATGACCACAGGGACGTATTCAGACCTTGATTATGGGGAGGGAACAAAATAATTAAATTTAATATTAATGATTGATAAGAAAATAATACGGACATACTTCGCACGATGGGAGACCACTATTATAAATGAGAAGTTGGATAGGTAGGGTATTGAAGGAAATTTAATGTATATCTGTACCTAAGTAAATTTAATCATTACCATAATAATAGTGTTGCTATGGGGCGTCTTGGGGTCAATTCTATGGAGAAAGGGTGGCGTGTAATCTTTACTTCTGAATACTATCTCTTTGGTCAACAAAAACTTACAACTTTTATGTCTTATGTCAATTTAAGTTAAATTTTCACATTAAATAAATAAAATTAAAATAATGATAATATGAATAACAAAAATAATAATAGTTAATCAAAGTTAGATGACCAAGTTCAAAATACTTTTATATTAAGTAACAGTTTGCAAGTGGTTTGATCTACAATATTTAATATATTAACTTTTTCATTTCGTTAAATATTTAAAAGTCTTTGTTCAATTTTTTTTTTTTTTTTTTACCACAGCTCGACTTTTAATAAATCTCTTGTTAAATTCTCATGAATTTCTGTTTGGTCTAAACATTTTATCCACAGAGTACCTACCAAATAAAAATTACGTACAAACTCACAATATTAGAATAAAACGAAAAAATTTTTATCACGTCAAAAAATGACAAATAAATGGTAAATATAAGTTTTCTGTTAAATTGTCTAGTCTCTACGAATATAATTTTAACTAAATTACAATAAAAAAAAAATTTAAAATAATAAAACAAATATTTTCGTAAATTTTCCTGCTTTTTTTATATCGTGAAATTTATCTCCACCTTGAACGAATATTTATTGACATAGTCGCGTTTTTACTTATTTGTACTTAAGAATTTTGGATATTTTGTATAACAAAAAATAACATCACATGGTTTATGGGGGGGGGGGAGCGATCACCTCCTAGCACACCCTTAGGGACGTCCCTGCATGACCAACATCACACTTGGCGACTGTGATGTAAAAAAAACCCATCCAATAATGTTCACATGGGTTTGTGTCAAAATATTGGTCAAAATCAGTGATAACTTTGAAAATAGTGGTGAGGCGAAGTTAAAATTCAACGGCCACAATAAATGTGTCTAGTAATAAATAAATAAATAATTAATTAGTTTGTTATCAATTTGGAACAGTTTTAGTTTGATATTATGATAATACCTTCAGTCAAGGGGCGGATTCAGGACAAGATAACGGTGGGGGCATGATTTTAAAAATGCATTTAAGACATGCATTAATGGATAGCTCAATGATGAATCAAAATAAGAGTATAATGCAGCTTAGAGTACATTAGAGAGTAAATGAATTAGGCCCCTATCACCCCCCCACCTCCCTGGTTACGTCACTGTTCCAAACTACTCACCTACAAAAGTAAGTGCCTCCGTCAGCATGGTCAGCTCTTTTTAGATTTTGAACAGATTGTAATGGTTTTACAATAATGTCTATTATTTTTTCCTATGAACAGCTTTTATACCAGTAATTTCGTTCAATTTACAATGCTAGCAATTATTCTCAAAGGAAATCTGACTGGGACGGTACTTAAGGGAGTTTATTTTTTGATTATTACTGCTGTTTTTATAATAAATGGGAAAAAACTGGAAAATAGGTACAATATTAAACAAATATTATTAAAGAAAATATATTATGCGTTTGTAATTATTTTACCACTTTTATGAATATTTCGAAAAAATCAAGTTTAAAGTTAGTTGAATTAAGTATAATTACGAATTAGTATAACATATTATCATATCATTCCAATCATTAACTGCTCACCAACAACTATAAAACATTGTTGGGTAAATAAACTGTTGGTAAACAATTTTACAATGTATGTTCTGCTTTTTTTTATTATAAATTAATATTCACAAAAAAATACCGAGTGGGTGATCTTAGGTGCCTGGGTGTTCAGAAATATGACAAAAACTATTAAGTTTTTCAAAATAAAATTTATTAAAAGAATTTAATTGTGGACATTTTATAAATTTGACAAACTTTATTGGATTTTATTAAATTTCAATACATTTGTGGTAGAGTGTAGATATTTTGGGTTGAGATGGGTAGAAAATTAAATCAATGATTCAACGTAAAAATACTTCGAGTCATCACTGGTGTGGAGGAATAATGAAATATGCAAAATATTTTATAAGAAGTTAAATTTATTATATTTTGGAGTAAATTGAATTGTTTTAAGATTCGTTAAAATTGTTATCATATAAAATGTTATAAAAGTTAGCTATAGACAGCTTAGAGCCTACGAAAAAATTTTGATGCCATTATTCTTTCTTTCAAAACCTAACAATTTAACCTTTGATCTTTTAGATTCTGAGTGGGACGAAAAAGCTAATGGTTTTACAAAGATGTTTATTATTTTTTTTTTTTTTCTATAGACAATTTTTTTATCAGAGATCTCGCTCTGACTTTTAAGTTTAGCACCTTTTCTAAATAGAAATCGGTATGAGGAGGTACTTTAAGAAGACTATTTTTCGATTTTCTCAAGATTTTTCCTAGCAAATGTAAAAAACCATGACAATTTTGAAGGTCGGTACACTAAACAAATATTATTAAAGATAGAATATTATAATGCCTACTTAATTATTTTACCATAATATGAGATACATTGTTGACAAAATATCACTATCAACTGAACTCCGCTCACAATGGTTTTTTTGTTAGCAATGGATTATCAAAAAAATTTAATGTAAAACTTATAGGTTAAAATCACCCTTTTTTTAATCCAAGATCACATTTGCACTATATTATAATTAACTTATGAAGGGTTTAGGCCATTCCAAAAAAATTAACCCCCTCCTCCCATAATAATAATATACCAGATCCGTGTCTGGTTTAAGTAATATTTTTCTTTTGGATTCCATTGAACAATATAAGTCATATTATAGTGAAATAAATATATATTTATTTATTAATACGGACAAAAGTCCAATTCACAATATATTTGTATAGATAACAATAAAATATAACTTATATAAATTATAAATTTATATAATTTAAAATAATAAAATATAACATAATAA